CTGGGGAATTCTGGGAGTTGAAGTCCACACGCCTTCAAGCTCCCAAGGTTGAGAAACACTGGTTTAGAATTTAACCTGCCCTCTAGAATCCTTGGTTTCAGAATCACTCACCACAATTAAAATCACAAGGGTTATGTCATATTTTGTTGCTTTAGCATATCCTTTAAAATATGCTTATTGGGTATGTATGAATGAACATCCTGTCTGCTTTACTCTTTGTATCAGTTCCGCCCTGACAGGCTTCTACAAGATTTTTTTTTTTTAAATCTGTTGAAAATTTTATATGTACATTTGCCAAGTCCCCTAACGTGTGAAATTTCTCTATCCATCTTTGAATAATTTATGTTCTTGTTAAGGTGACTTACACATTTCCCAATGCAGGCTTCCTTAACATATATTTCCTGGAAATACACATGAAGAAAGTGCTGTTTCTAAGCAACTTGTAGAAGTCTACCTTCCTTTTGCAAAAATGTAGATTTGCAGAGGGGGAAAGACAGATGCTAGCTGGATTCGGCACAAGCAATCTGTGTGGACGCCGAGGATCAGAATGCCAAAATGGGTGAAATCCACACCAAAAACCGCTTGACTTCCTTCATGTTTATTCCCTCATTTATTACTGCGTGGTTTTATAAAAAGCCATCGTAGATACTTTGTGGAAAATGACCTACAGCATGTCAATACAATCGCTTGCCCAATAGGAAGATGAACCTGAATTTAAAACAATCCCCCCTCAATAACCTATCGATAGAAACAAGTTACAAACACAAATATTCTGTGCAATGCCCAGCTCACCCATCTTTTTTTTAACCGTGGGTTGCCATCTTCAGCCCAAAGTTAGCCTGGAGATTTTGCCCTCCCCAACAACTGTGTACCTATATCTATACCTGGAACTCTCTCTCAGAAGCAACCCAACTAAAAATAAGGGCCAGGACAAAAAAAACCAAAAATGCAATAATAATTAAAATTATGTGCCTGCAAAATTAGATGCCTCGTTTATAAAATTACAAAAGTAATGGATTGTTTATCTGCATACAGCAATGATTCACTGTTGCACACACAAATCTCACTTCCACACACAAATCTCACTTCCACACACATACACAAACACACACACACAGGCAAACACAGACACACATTTCCTTCCCCTCCATTAGGCAGGAACAGCACAGGGGAAGAGATGGCGATAGGATGGGAGGGTGGGAGAAGAACAGCACAGAAGAGGGAAGGAAACAGCAAGGGGGGAAAATGGATGGCAATGAGGCAGGAAGAAGGGAAGGGGGAAGGAAGGGTGTTACAAAGGGTTCACCAGGTAAGGCTTTGGGTGTTACAAAGGGTTCACCAGGTAAGGCCTCACCAGGTAAGCATCACCTTTTCCCAAGCAAAAGCCCATCATTGGGCTAATTTTGCAAAGAGAGCCAACCCTGCCTGCAGTCCTTTGAACTCCATCATCTTCCCTACATGCTGTGCTTCTCAGCAAGTGTTAAGACAATCCCACCCCAATTCACAGCTAATAATTGGGGTGGGGTGGGGTGGGGGGATGTGTCTTCTGGGTGGTAAATACAGCAGGTAACATCCTGATATGCCCTTGGTCATCTAAATGTGTGTCAGTTCCCAACATTATGACCAAGACCCAGAGCCCAAGAGGATCCTCTGCAAATGAGGGACAGGACCAGGGTAAGACATTAGCAGGCTCAAACTGGAGAATCTGGCAGCAGAGATCATGTATATATTTGAGCTGGGAGATTGGCAGTGCAAAGCTTTCTTTGTACACATTCCTCATCTGCCACAACAATTGGCGTTTTGCTCCTGGGGAAAAACAAAGTGCTTCATATTTCAGGGAAATCAAACCAAACCTATAATTTGGCAACGCTTCCAAGCTGGCATGTCATTACTTTCCATCCATTCTAACATCCGCTAACAAGTCAAGGCATAACCCAGCAGATGACCACATTTTGCCTGCTCTCTTACAAACAAGTCATGCATTCCAGGCAGTGCGAAAGACAGATCCAATTAACTGCTGGCCTCTGTATTTTTCAAAAGGAGAAAAGCTATTGTTTCATTGTTCCAATGCACTTCATTATAACCAGACTGCCCAATTGTACCTTTTAACCCCAAAAAATCCCCAGGAGAAGAATGACATTGGGAAATTTACCAACATAGCTTCTTCCCTTCTCTCTCTATTCTTTCTTTTTTTGTTTTAAGTCCTCTTCCTCGAGTTGTATGAAAATTTAAAAAGTTGGCAATTTGTGACATTAATTGGTTCTAATACAGCTTTTCTGCTACTCTAGCCATTGTTGGGTTGTCATGTGGACAGCAACAATCTCAGACAGTGGTGATGTCCATGTAACAAACTCTATCCAAGTAAAAACTAGCACATTGGGATGAGAGTATCTTACAACATTTGAATGAATTTAAGATTTTCAGAGGCAAAAGGAAGGAATATAAAGTTGATTTATTTGATCAAGGTTAACATAAGAAATCTTTTTATGGAATTCTGGCAAACCTTTAACAGACTTTTTGGTGACACCAGGACTGAAAAGTAGATGTCTTATTTGCTTTTTAGATAAGGGATGGGTTATGGGAAGAAGAGATATTTGTTTGTAACCTTATACGGGGTGAAGAGTTATTAAGTTTGTTTATACTTCTTGTGACAGAGATCGGAAATCTTTATAAATTTCTTTTCTTTTTCTTTTTCTTTTTCTTTATCTTACTTTCTTCTTTTTCTTTTTTGCACTTTTTATTCTTTCTATTTCTCCTTCTCTCTCTGAATTTAATTTGTATTTGCTTTCACTATGGTAATGAAAATCTTCAATAAAAATGATGTGTATATGTAAAAAAAGGACAGGAGTGTCCCTGGGGGGTGATATATGTCAAAGAAGTTGCGCATTCAAAGCCCTGTCCCTTTTTATGTGTGCAGCCAAGAACATCCTGCACCAGGAAGAAACACTTCAAGCAGCATCGGTTATAAATGGAAACCAGCAAACTTACATAGCGCAAACTGAGCAATGGTGACAACGGTCAGGTTTGATGAGCTGACATCTGTCACAGAATCGAATGGCTGGAAAGAACACAGACAAAAATGCTCCTGGTTAATCATGACCATTCTCAGTGGGTGCAACTTCTCTCTTATAAGGTTGTTACAAGAATGACCAAGGCAGGATTTAGGGACTAGTTTGAAAATCGGAAGTGCCCTATATAAATCAGGGTGTCTATGATTTCAGGTGGCTGAGAGCTGAAGATTATGATGTAGAGATAAAGACTCCTTCAGGCTGAGCTTCATTCCCGGTGACCTTATGGACACATCCGCGTCACTTCTTGGCAATGACGTGGAAGTTATTTAACATTCCTAGATCAGAGCGGGTCCAATTCTTTCGGTTTTTTTTAGAAAAGCTTTTCAGGGGGTTCTATCACATTTGTTTTAGGTGAACTAAGCCTATCTGTTGTGTTAGTCCTTGCTGGATACCAACGCCAAATCACGATGCTGATTTTCCATGGATTTACCACTGAATTTCAGCAGTGTGATCCTGGGGACCAATTAAAAAAAGGGTTCAGGGAGGCATGTAGCTATTCACCCTTGATATAAATGCTGTTATTATTTATTCACCACCCACTCCTATGAAATCAGGAGCAAGAATCAGAAAATAAAACCAGTGCATTAAACAGTTGGAGAATTTTATATTCCCCAGCAAAAAAGCAAATATTAGATGAGCTATTCTCAATCTTGCGCCCTCCAGATTTATTTTGGATTACAGCTCCCAGAACTACCAGCCAGAAGGGCCAGTTTCCCCAGATCTGAATTCCTCTTCCCCAAAGGGGGAAAATACCCATCCCATCCTGAGTGCTACATTTCCAGCTGGCACCTGGCAACCACGCTGTAAATTTTAGCCAGGGTGAAAGTGATAAAACCAGCCAGGGAGAAGACCGTGATGCTGTCACTGGGCCCACATTCTCCAACCAAGATGGGGACCCGAAAGACCACAGCCTCTGGTGGTCCTTCAGTCCCTTCAGTATGGCACTGCTGGCAGCTGACAGGGCAGTTTTCGGCTTTGGGGAAAAAAAGAAGAAGAAATAAACACCAGTAGCATTGACTCACTACATCTATTTATTTAAAAAATAAATATCTGGCAGAACATTCCAGCCCTGGCCCCTTCAATGACATCCCCATCTCTCACGTGAAAGGGACTTGGGTCCCCCAAAACAGCCTGATAGGGAATGATCCAATGGACACGTATGGAGGCAGAACCTTGGTCCATGGAGTCAGAAAGGGTCTCCTCAGAGATCTCCAGAGTCTCCAGTGAAGGGGGGAGGATCCTTCGCCTGCTATCTCAGCTCCTTTAATTGAAAGCTCAGCAGCAGCAACTCTTTAGCAGCTGAAGATAGGCCTTCAAACGTTGGGGTGGGCAGGGTCACAGTGAAACCAAGTGCCATCACACGGAAGTGGGAGGAGCTGGCTTCTCCGGGTGAATGGGGCAGGAGTCTCTCACTACGGTTTCCCATCTCAAAAAGGCAGGAAATAGAAATTCAGTAGTAGAGTCAGAGAGGGTTTCAGAGTTCACAAACAAAAAGCAATTGGGGGGCATAAGTGGTTGTCCAATCCAGCCCCTTGCTCCTACCAACCTGGGACTCCTGCCTGCAAATCTGTACTCTGCAGAATTCAGGTTGAAACACAACAGGTCAAACTACAATTGCAAACCGGGCACTTTTCTGAGGAATCAATGCTGTCTGTGCACATGAATGCAAACCACCGACCATGAGCTCTCCCAGTTTCTCTTTTGCGGTTCCAGAGCTGAAATTGGCAAAAACAGTATTTTTGCCATAAGTGGGGTAGGGGATGAGGTGGAGATTTGAGTGATTTTAAGAGCTGGAATGAACGCCTGAAATTTTAAGGCATCTATTTGTCCTTCACCTTTCCCAAAAGAGCTAAATGTTTTGGCATCGCTGATTCTGATGATGCTCTTTGTCACCCCACTGCGACTGGGGCCCTTTAAAGCACCACAGTTTTATTTTAGAAAGGGCCGCTCCCCAGCTGCAATGAAGTTTTTTCATTCTAATTCTAACAATTTCCTTTGTCCTCGAGACCTTTAGGTAAAAGGTTGGGCGCAGGAACAGAAGGCTTTCCAAAAGTAGGTTGTCAGTTTGGGGTGCTGCTTAGCCCCTCAGTAACTAACCTCCATTCCCTGTTCTGGTGTAAACCGGCAACTTCCGTGCCATCTCTGCCAGTATCTGCCTTTGAACCTCAGGCCTTTCTTCATTCTCATAGCGCTCCTTGTCAGCATAGGACATGTGGAACTGGAAGGAGAAGGGAAAGAGTTAAACACACATATTGAAGAAGGTTTGTCTGACCTCACCTGGTAGTGAGAGACCACAGCTCCTTCCTGCTGTTTCCGGGAACATACAGCGGTGCTTATCCTCAGTTTCCCCATCTGGCGTCCTCAGATATTGTCAGCCCTTCGAGGTAGTCCAGACCAGGAAACCAAAGTTATGAATGCTGATGCTACTTTATTATAACGTTACAGTAACAGAATCTTGCAGGTCTGAATGCACCTCTCCCCTCCCTGCCTTTAGGTTCAAGAGAACTAGGGAGGGTCAAGTCTGAGGCGCTTTCTCAAATTACATTCCTGCTTTGGACTCAGATTTCTCTTATCTACCCATTGTCTTGGTTGCAGCTCTTCTTCTTGTTGCTCAAGGTCATTCTCACAGCCCAAGACATCTATGCTAGACTTCAATTCCCAGAATCCAGCACAGCAACTGATGGCTAAGAATTCTGGGAATTGCAGTCCAACACATCTGGAAGGCCTAACATTGGGAAAGGCTGCTCTACACTGAAAGGGAAGGGGGGTTAGTTCCAAGAGAAACCAATCAATCTATCAATTTACTCCCAATGTAATTAGTTCAATGAAAAAAGAAACAAACAAACCTAGGATGCACTGAAATGAATACTAAAACCCAGACATTTTTTTTTTAAAAAGGTTCACTGACCTACTGTGTCCTGCTTAGTCCTTAATTCCAACAGCAAATAACACTAGGGGTGGAGATGGCCAGAGGCACAGATGTGCTCCATGGTCTCCAAAAATGAAGCCACCTTCCATCCTTGAGAGATGATACCAGACATGACAAATGCTTATCTAATGTCAGTTTAGAAGAGTGAGTAGGGTCACATTCAACTTCTCTGCCCATTTCCCTCTGCTAGGATCTTGTGAAGGCCAATTATTGGTGTCCACCAGACAGCCAACCTTTTTGCTACCAAGATGGCTGATTCCACAATTAAAATATAGCAAAAAATGACCAGGCCATCCCGATGATTTCTAGATCTGCAGGGATCCCAAGATGCTCTGGGAACAGGCATATTTAGCTGCCTGTGAATCTATGCAGCTTGCAGAAGACAGAAAACCAATCAGCGCCTGCCCTTGTGGGCCAAGGGATGAGCACCAAGACGTCTTGGCACAAAAAATGCCTGATGGCCAACAAACAGTGCCTTGTCCTCCAATGTCAGTTTTGTGTTGAAAAAAAATCCCTCCCCCCCCTGTAAATATTACAAAAAATTACACTACTGGTATTTCTGCTTGGTGGTGAAGGACCACCAAGCAACTTATACTGTCATCCATTTGGATCTATTTATCCAATCCGGATGTCCAACCATCGCTTCAGGACAACAAGAGTGGATGAACCAGACATTCTCGTTGATGTCTGCACAAACCACATCCTTGCATCACAACACAGCAAAATGCTTCTGTGGTGGAAGACACTGCTTGTGATGGGACTTTTCTATTTGAAGGAAACACAGAGGCTGTCATAGGGGAAAGCTGGGACTTAGCATGATGCTAAGTGCCCGGCCAGAGCTTCATCTGATCTCCAGGGAACTCAACTCCATCTACAAGTGAATCTGTCCCATTGTCTGAAGGAGAAGCTGGGCTCTCTCCAATCTGCAATTTTGCAACCAACAGCCACTGATGAAAAACAGGGTGCTAAAGATAACTGACCTCAAGAGATGTGATTCCTGCGCCTTTTAGATTTTAGCCTTTTCACGGCATTGCTCCATTTTGTTTCAGGATCTAGTACCCCATGGTTTAGAATGATAGCTGCCCCCAAACCGATTGACTTGCTCTCTGTGAGGGCAGATCTAAAGTTATGATGAGAGGAACTGTCTATATTATCCCTGAGTTGTACGCCACTTCCATTTTAGTTTCTCTCTTTATTTCAGCCTTCCCCAGACTAGATTCTTTCCAGACGCATGGACCAACTCCCAGGATTCTAAGTAATGGCCATGCTGGCTTGGAAATTCTAGGAATTGAAGTTCACACATCTGGAAGGCACCCAGCTTGGGGAAGTCTGGTTAGTCCCTTTATAATGTTCCTGAGTTTTACCTTTTTGTCCGGTTGTTGTGGGGGAGTAAATATAGACTTCCAATATGTCCATACGAAAAATACAAAGATGATATGGAATACGGTGAGGTAGGCCGCTAAAGAAGAAGAAAAGCATTAACCAAGGAAGCAGAAATGCTCATTTTTCTCCCAACCCTTTAAAGGAATCCTTGACTTTCACAACAGACAATATAAAACCTCTCTTAAAGTGACTCCTATGCTTAAGATTGAAAGGGAGATACTTCAGAAAAAATGGCCATGCCATGAAAAAGCAAGATACATTTCTCTCTGTATGGTGAGCCTTGATTTCTGCAACTGGCCAGGGTTACGAAAAGGAAACGATATAGTTTAATATTCCTTCCAAGTCCAAACACAAGCTGGGGGGGGGGGGGGGGGGGGGAGAAGAGCAGGGATTCAATCAAGAAAGGGACTATGTGGGAAAGGAATATAGTCCTTTCCCAACTCCAGAACTGCTGTTTATGTTGGGAAGAGGGCTCCTGCTCCCCCTACATAGGGAGGTGAACTTAAAATGGAGCCAGTGGCCAGAGATGATAGACGTTCCTTTTTTGGAAGTGTTCAAGCAGCACCTGTGGGACATGATTTCATGTGGGTTCCTGCTCTAATCCAAGGGTTGGAGTTGAGGGATTCAATGATTCTAAGCCTCTACCAGGAGAGGGTTGCCACTGAAAAAATTGAGACTTTCTGATACAGGTAGTCCTTGCTTAATGACCACAATAGAGACCAGAAAATTCGTTGTTAAGGGGGGCAGTTGTTAAGCGAGTCACCCCCAATTTTACAACCTTTTTTGCAGCTATCATTAAGCAAATCACCATGCCTGTTAAGCAAATCACATGGTCATTAAGCGAATCACACGGTTCCCCATTGATTTTGCTTGCCAGAAGCCTGCTGGAAAGGTCGCAAATGGCGATCAAGTGACTGCAGGACGCTGTAGCTGTTGTAAGTGTGAGCTGGTTGCCAAGCACCCAGATCGCAATCATGTGACCATGACAGTTCTAAGTGCCAGGACTTGTTGTAAGTCCCTTTGTTCAGCACTGTTGTAACTTCAAACAGTCACTAAACAAATGGTTGTTAAGTAAGGACTACCTGTAATTCAAAAAGGCAGAAGAGGCAATTGATTCCACAGCAGCCTCCAAAGATCTAGCCTGGAATGAGGGAGACAACTTGAGCTAAGATGACTTCAGGGGTAGCAAGGCCATGAAGTACTCCCAATGGAGATAGTGGAAAGCCACTGGCTGTCAGAGTATGCATTCGTGGGCTAAGGCAGGGGTGGCCACCTATGGCCGAGGGATTGCATGTGACTCCATCCCTCCTTTTGCAGGTTTAGGGAACATGCTACTTTCAGACTTTCCTTTTTGAAATCTGGACCATAAACAGTTAAATCATGGCTGGGAATCCAAGAGCTTTGATTACTATTATTTAATACAAGGAAAGTAAAAATTACAACACAAGAATTCCAGCAAGTACCTTGCTTTTAAATCAAATTCCTATATATGGGCAAAACTCTTGTCTTTTTCCTCCCTTTCAATGCCGTGAGCTGGATGCCCCCCTCTTTTGTAACAGAGGGCCAGTTTGGACCTGTTTGCTGTTTTGATAATTGACACCCCTTTTATCGTGAGAAGTAACTGTTACTAGCACTAAGATTTTGTGTCCCACCATCAACTCCTTCCTGCCAATCCTTACAGGAAACCAAAGAAATAAGGGGAACCGTGACTTAGAACATCTTAAACTAGATGTTTGGGAGGGGGGACCCAAGCCTCCCCAAATGTCCTCATCTGCTGTGAGGACATCCTTGCCTGTTCCCAGGGCTGCCAAAGATACAAAGGGCTGCTGTCTATATTCACTGAATTCACTGAATTGGAACATTGAGCCCACAACTCTTCATTGGATTTGGAAACAGCAGCTTTCCAAAGATTTAGATACTCTGCCAGCTCAGCTAATTCAGAACGTTAAACAAAACGAGAGAAGTTATAAAAATGCATGTGCTTTACATCAAGTATGCACTGATTAGAGCATACTGCATTTTCTCTGAAATTTATTTTGCTGCCTAAGGCCTTCGGTGAGCTTCCTGGCCAGCAGGAATTGAAACCCGTGTACCACAAGGCCCAGCCTCTCCCTTGCAAGTTCCCTTAATTAGCTGAGTGCAGCCTAGTTCCTCTTATATCAGTCAAGGAGTGGTGGAGACTTCCAGGAAGTATCAGTCTTATTTTAGGCAGGGCCTGGGGACACTTTGCATTTCCATGAGCCTCAACTGCAGTAGAGGTTGAACCGTCCCATTGTTGAGAATGAACTCTGTCTATACTGGGCTAATCCTACGGGATGATTGTAGAAGGGGATTGCAAAGAGATCTAGAGCAGAACATAGCAGGCACAACTTCAGGAGGAAAGCTGCAGAATTATGACTATACTAGGGTTAGGGTAAGCTTTGCTGGCTAGGGATGATGGGAGATGTAGTTTAACCCATCTGGAACAACATGGTGGAAAAGGCAGCTTAAGTTATGACGTGTAGGAGTTGGAGGTGAAGAAGGGTCCCCACCTCCACTCTGCTTACGTGCATGTAAGAGCAGCTTTGCATCCAAACCATCTTTCTTTCCCTTCAACAGAGAAAGAGTCATTCCGGTTCAACGTGGTTTCTCCTTCCCTTACTATAAATGGCAGCTTCCCCACTTGAAACAACAACACACCAGTGTTTTGAAGTAAGAGCAAAGCACAAAGATCAGATATAATAAATATCCACACACCTTTTTCTACAGAGTTGGTCAGAGTCACTGAAAGAGAAAATAAAGACATCTTCAAATGACATATAAAGGTTGCCACAAAGAAATATGTTTACAATCATGCATACATTGACTGTGTCTGAAAGGAACACAAATTAATTTTTAATTTACTGGTCATGTATTATTATATTGTTAACTCCACTGCACTGATAATTGCGTCTTCACTTGATTGACACCTCATCACGTTTGGTTGGACAGAACTTCCATTCATTCCAAGGGTGCTTGTCTTTCAAGACAAGAGAAAGAAACCCCAGAATATACACCTGGAGACTGCAACCAAAAGCCAACTGTCTTTTCTGCTGTGTCACAGCTGCTATACTGCAAAAATCACTTGCCATGCTCAATCAAAGCTGCCTTTATAATCCTACTCTTGTCAAAAGAAGGTGGCTTCCATTCTCAGCAGATATACAGTAACAGGTCGAAGCAAGAAGGGTTCTACCCTTCTTCTAAACTGGACAAGAAAAGGGCATTGTGAGTTTAAAAATATTTTGTTTATCCCATGTTCTTTCAAGGTGGCATTCTGGATTTGGTCACATTTTATCCTCACAACCTTTAGGCTGAGAAGATCTCCAAAGGTTAAGCTGAGCATGGAGGTAGAATAGGGTTAACATTTTTAACAACTTGAGTGCTGGTATGCCGAGGTGCTTTTTGAGGGGGAGGGCAGAAAGAAGTCAGTGATGGCTCTCAGCCTTTACCTGGACAATCACAGGGCTGTCATGAAAACACACAAAGGGCACACATCTGTGCACTACTTAATGCAGGGCTACGCAGCTGACACTTGGACTCAAATTTGGAACCAGATATCCACAAAGCCTGCTGTGAAGTGGTGATGATAAGCATCAATGGGTGAAAGTGACAGGTCTTAGTAATTAACCCTACCACCCCACCTATTCCCCCCCCCCCCCCGGAAATGATGTGGTGGCACGCATGATTCGCACAGGAAAAAATCAACTGGAGGTGAAGAAACAGCAGAGGAAACAGGGGTATGGCAGGAAAGGAAGCACTGAGCACCACAACTGCCATTGTCTGTTGACAACCTCATTGAGATTCAGGAGATGGTTGGGAGAACAAGAGCAAATTCCTCAGTTATTTGGGAAGAGAGCAGCTAGCTCCTTGGTTCATAGAAAAGCCTATATTAAGAAACTGAAAAATGATCTGCACTAATGAACTGAAAGATCATTAATCAAGATTGGGTTCTGAAGTGAAAGCGATCTGGTTGCAGAAATTTCTGTAAACCTATCCCATTTCCTTTCAATAGCCGTATTAGACAATTCGGTGAGAATCTTGCTGCTGGCTGAGTCCGCTGCCAAGAGCTTGACCCAGCTCACCTACTGGGCTCCTGCTGGGCACAGCACCAAGCCCAAATACTCTGTTCTACAACTGCTTGAACTCCTGAAACTGTTCACCCCACCGTTGGTCTCCTGGCTGTATATTCCTTCTGCCAAACCTGCAAGATACAGCCTCACGCTCCCAAAAAAGATCTGAAGGAATGGTTGTGGTTGACAGCAAGTTCAAGCAGCCTGCCATGTCAAAATGGCCTTCTGCAACTCTTTCTTAAATTTGCATTATTTTGTGTGGCTGCAATGGAGAGGACTTTGGGCTCTGAAGACAAAAGGACACCGGATGCCCCGTTAATGAGTCCTTTTAAAATTCCTTCAGTTTGGGGTATCTGGTACAAAGAACTTCTGGGAGGCACTCTTCTGGGAAGGCTGCACCTTCGTCTTATCCCTCAGGAGTGTTATGGGTCCCTTCTGCCGAGACGCAGAATCCCTCTGCCGGGTACAATCTCTCCATATAAACAAAAGCAAGGGCTTCCCACATCGCTGCTAGCCAAAGTAAACGAGCAAGGCAAGGCAAACCTTTCGGGGGCAGTGTGTGCACACACGTAATCTGAAAAACCGAGCTGGAGGTGAATTAAGTCTCACGCATAGCTCATTCTCTGCCCATCGGTGATGTAAACTCAGCTTTAATTAACTCTATCTGTGTGATTTTCAACCAACTACCAGCTGCTTCCAGCTGCGTTAAATTCAGGTGTACTTGGAGTGGCTCACGCTTGCTTTGGAACAATTTTACAGCCAAGGCTGTTCCCTACTTAATGGAGGTCAGCTTGTGGGACTGCGGTTGACTCTGCTGGTCTTCTCTGGTGCCATCAATGAAGAGGAAGGGATGTTTCTACCTTTGTAGCTCCCTGACAGCTCGTTCTCTTTCCGTTCCTCTAGCAAGACTACACCAGTCCACCCTCATTCTCATGTTCTGGCATCATCTGCCACCTGGGTGCTGGGACACGGCACCCCTGGAGTCTGGCTTCTGCCTCACTTATCCAGCAAAGGTCGGTAATGTAAAGGGATGAGCTACTCCCCAGAAACCAAGACCTTTACTACCACTTTGGTGTTTTGCTCCAATCTGCCTAGGAGGCCACAAGAGGGATGAGAGCAGAAGACGGAACTGTGTTGCAGGTGTGTCCCAACTATGGAACTTGGTTCTAATAGATTAGATTTATAACTTCTGTGAAGCAAAACCATTGACGGGAGATACCCTGTTTTTCACATGACGCAAAAAGAAAATCTCTAAGAGAATGGATGGACCCACTCAGAATGCTAAACATCTCAACGTTTACTCCCCATGGCAAATACAACAGGGATAGCTTGTGGCACTGATCTGCTCCTTCCCCATTTTCCTAAAAGCCGAACAAACATACAACTCTTGGCCGTCATTATGTTACCTATCACAGGAAATAACCCTCTCTCAAATACACAATCCAAGAATAACACACAAATGGGGAAGACTGTTTTGCATACAATCATCAGGTAAATTCAGAAGAGTCGAACCAAAATAAATACAATTCCAGCATAAGGATGATTCCAGCAAATGTAATTCCACTGCACAGAGAACCAGCACAATGGTTAGGATACTGAAGTAGGACCAGTTTCACTTTCAGTCAGATTCACTTTTGGGCATGAAAAACCGCGGACCCCTCACTTTCAGGCAGAACGTTGAGATATTCCTTGGAGCCAAGTGCTAAGAGTTCCTCGGAAGATAAGCACTAACCACAGATAGACACTTCCTGGGTTTTTACCACAAGGAAGAATGAAACTGACTAGATGCTTGTAATAGTCAAAGTGAATTTTTTCCCTCAATTTCCTTGTATCCAAGCCATCTATTGACCGTGGCCTGACTATGTGCTCAGGGTCTTGCCCAAGGAAATGTTGTTTGTGTGCTGGACCAGGCTCCGCAGACTTTTAATAAAAGTATTGGAAACTTCACAAATTGGGTCCTGATTACTCAGGGACACACCTGAATGTGGTCACTTACATGAGCAAGAAGGGAGAAGTGACTGAGGAAACTCAGGGTTTTTTCTCCAACAGAACAAGGAAATAAAATATTACCCAACTGTAAGAGAGGAAGGCAGGGTGGAGAGGCTCAGTTACAGTGGTGATGGGGGCACCATTGAAAGGCCTGAAAGACCAGGTTAAGGACAGTTCATCATGGAGGAAATCTATCTATGTGGTCACTAAGAGCTGACTCCATCAAAATCAGAAAGGCAGACCAAAGAGCTGTGCTGGGAGCAAATCTGCCCTGTCATTAAATTAGCTCCAAGGAAAAGACAGTCAAGAACAATTAAGCTGCCTTTCTACTTCAATCTGCCAATATAGACCAAAGTCCGCCTTTAAAAAAAAGAAGAAGACAGACTTCATCCAGCAACAAAGCTGAGGGCCATGTCGTAACCTGATGTGGAACCCAGGTTTGCACATAATACACAATTGAAGATATTATTTTTTTTCCAGAGTTTCCAGTGTGATTCTTCCCCCCCGCCCCCAAAAAAGGCAGGCAAATTCATAAACAGGTTTGGAAGCCTACTAAGTCTTGAAGAGCACTCTTCGTTCATTAGAAGAGCAGGAGGAAGAGGGGGGGGGACATTTTTCTTTTCTCTCCTGCAGGATGAAATGTTGGGAGGGACCCAGCTCTCGAAAGACCCCGTAATCAGAACTAAAAGGATTAAGTAGCGCCCCTTCCTTCTCCCAGCCTACTTCCCCCACCCAGTGCAGTACAGTGCTCAAAAGTGCAGCAACTCTGGATGCTTTTGATAAAGGGGGGGGAAAACCCTCCCCAAATGCTGACATACTCTCTAGTACTGTGATATACTTTAAAGCAGGGTTCCTCAACCTTGGCAACTTTAAGACGGGTGGATTTCAACTCCCAGAATTCCCCAGCCAGCTTTGCCGTCTTAAAGTTGCCAAGGTTGAGGAACCCTGCTTTAAACAACTGAGCATGGCAACAAATATCAAGTGCCAGGACTCAGCTGTAAAAATCCCATGACCACCGGAGGGCAGCAGAGATGTGAACAACTCTAGCTCACTGCTGCCCCGTAGTGGTCATACACTTCTTTGCAGACTAGGTCTGAGAACCCTAATATAACAGCAGGGCTTGCCTTAATGTGAGAAGACTGGATTCACATCCTCCCAGATGGCACTAAATCACTGACTCCGATTTCCCCATACGTTTCCTCCTATGGAGATCTGCTTTGCCTCCCCAAAGTCCTGCACCAGGTTCACTGCAACTGTCCTCCTCATCCTTAGAATTATACTGCCGCTGTAACTTTTAATTGCAGCTTTTAAAAGTCACGTATAAAATCTTTGAATGACCTAAATCAAGTTGTTCTGGCCTATATTGGGTTTTATTACTCTTTGCTACCGTTACTTCAGTAGAGGATTGCAGAATTCAGTTTTTAAAAATCAAACAGGACCTGCCCCAAACTCACCAGGTAACTTTAACAGAAGTACCAATAGAAGAGAATACATGTAGCTCCGGGTTGAACTGGTCTTAATCCTCAAAGTTAATCCCCTCTTGCAATGCTGTGATAATCACACACTGGGCTACCTTAGCAGATTGTTGTAAGAAAAGAACGCGGCTGCCTGGGTTCACACAGCACCCCAAGTCATAATCAAGCTGCACTGGGCAGGCTTCAGAAACGATGGGGAAGAAATGCTTCGACCCTAATGCAAGCACAGCATCTCTCTGCTAAAGAAAACCACCTTGGTTTAGGCTTCTGCAGGATGCTGGGGGGAAAGTCAGGATTTTTTAAGGAGTCACTCCTTAAAGTAAATGGGACTCTTTAGGCAGCACCTTCTTTTCAAGCTCACGTGGAAGCCCCAAAAGGCTGAGCTGCTTTAAAGCAGCAGAGAGGTGCAGCCTGGACACGAGGCCGGAAGCACTTCTTAGGAACCTGTCCGAAGCGTGCACAGCCCTATAAACTAACCACACCAGCTGGGTTCACACGAATACTGGTTCTGTCTGCACAGCACATTTACTGGTTCCAGGGGAGGGATGTTAGGGGACCGGGCGAGCCCCCTCCTCGAATCAAAAGGCCCAAGGATTATCCCAGAGGGGCTAGTTGGGGTTTAAAGCAATTGCTTGTGGACAACCACGTTGCTCTTCCCGCTTTCAGCGCAGAGACAAGCTCCTAAAGAGCCCCCCAAACACCCCCACTTCTTGATTTTGCACACCCCATGCACCTACAGGTGGAGTTGCGTAAAAGGAGGTGGGAAGTACCAACCCACTACTTTTTTTGTTTGCAAGGCAAGAAGAGCCGGGACAGGTTTGTTGGGTTAGGATGCCTCGACGAAAGACCCACGCAGCCCAGTGGGGCATCCGCCCCCAGGAGCCGCCGGGGCACCAATGCCCGGGCAGCAGCCAACCCGGTCGGCGCCGTCCTTGGAACAGAGCTCCCCACCCAGCTTGGCCGGCCTCACGCCAGCCGGGCTTCCCGGGCAGCCCCAGGGCGCGAGGAAGGGCGGCATCAACGGCCTCCTGCCTTCCCCAACGGGCTTGAAACAGACCCAAGTGGGCGGCACAGACAGAGGGCAGCGGGGCCCCACTGGCCCCTCCCTGGGAAGACCCGGGACAGAGCGCGGGACAGCGGGGTCCTGCCCCTCCGAGCTGGGAGTCAGCGCCCCCGCACCCAAAGATCTCCAGGCGGGACCCAAAAGTCCCCAGAAGTCTGGAACTACAGCCCCCATTGTCCTCAGTCCCCAGACAGACAGCTGGAGGGCAGGAGAGTTGTAGCCCAGCGCCGCGGGAGGAGGGAGGCCGGGCCGGGGAGGATGGGAGTTGTAGCCCAGCG